TTTGGGTGCAAACATGGAATGCTATAAATATGGAATGATGATTCTCATTTTTGTGTTTGGTTGAACCAATTAAAAAGCTGGAATGGAATTAATTTAACTTAAAAAAGAAAAGAAAATAAATTTAACAAAAAAATTAATTGTAATAAATGAAATTGGGGCAAGCAAGATTAGGGCAAAAGATGCCATGTTGAGAAGAAGCATGGAATGGGAATAAAGAAATTTAACTTATAAATAAATAAATTTAACAAAAAAATTAACGGTGGCAGGGTTGTGATGATGATAATGGCGGCGGAGCAAGGGTTGTGACGATGATAGCGGCGGAGCAAGGGTTGTGATGATGGCGGCGGAGCAAGGGTTGTGATGATGGCAGCGGCTGGGTTGTGATGATGATGATGGCGGCGGGGCGTTGATGATGGCGGCGAAGCAAGGGTTATGATGATGATGGTGGCGGAGCAAGGGTTGTGATGGGTTGGAAGATGATGTTGGGTGGGAAGACGTCGATGTTTATAAAAGAGATAATAATATGTTTTTTATTTCGGGTATAATTTTTTTAATCCTAGTGGGAATGGAATGCCCATTCCATTAATAGAAAGATGGAATGATTTTGGTGGAATATCCATTCTCGGAGAATGGTGGAGAATGATGATTCCACCCTTAATAGCCCACACCAAACACAAGAATGGAAAGAAAAGCATTTTATTTCCTCCTATTTAATTCTATTCAACCACACCAAACATGACCTAAGTTTATAACTTTTCTAATACCAAATTTGTCTTTATTCTTTGTACTTTTATAAAAGGCAAAACTTATGAAAAAATGATATGATTATAAATTTATTAAATAGTACATTTTTTTATTTATTTTTCTAAATACAATTATTATCCAATACACTATTAACAGATACATAATTAACAATATCATTTACTTTTCTTTATTTTATCTCTTAATTAATATTTATCCTTTATTTTTAATTGTACTAAACATAAGTTATTTTAAACATGTGCACCAAGCGTATGTTTAAGTTTTTTCTGTCACGGGGTCTTTTAAGGATCGACCTTTAACAGTTGAACTCTCACGTGCGCACTTTGATTGGAATGGCCAAGATAGCAAAATAAATTTCATATAAGTTCATATATAAATGCTCCTACAAAATTAGAGTAATAAATGTAAAATTACCAGTATTCTAGACAAAAAATAAAAAATGTCCCTTAAAAATAAAAAGTAAAGCAATGTAAGAATCAGTTTTATTTTATTTTATTTTTTATTATAATTTTTTTTTTAAGGCTTCATTTGTTTGGACGTTAAATATTTTAAAATATATGTTTGGTTGTCGTAAAATATTTACAAAGAAAAAAATATTAAAATTTGACAAAGATAATTTATCCATAAATTTTGGACAAATTATTTTAAATGCCCCGTCCGATGGACTCGACTTCAACTCCGGCGTAGATCTTTGCCAAACACAGATAAAGTAAAAATAAAAAAATATTTTATATAAAAAATATATATATATTTTTCAAAAAGAATATTTTACGTCGAAACAAACGGAGCCTAAAGATCAATAGCACAATACAAGTATAATCCAATAATGGATCTTTTTGGACCAACGTAAAAAAAATATTTATTTTTCTACGACGAATATTAACACTTTCTCTACGTATGATATGATAAAGATGGATATGATAAAGATGGATGAGACACGTGACCCATTATTTCATTTTGTATTCCATCAAAATAAATAAATAAAATAATATAATCATTTCTCTTTTATTTCATTCAAATATATATATATATATATATATATATATATATATATATTGATGGATATGTTTTTCCTTTCTCATTTCTCTTCCATTTATTTCTCATCCTTAATACGGTGCTATCGGACATTTTTGCGAAGGGAATAGTCAAAAGCCCTCCAAAATGGTTATGAAAAAAATAAATACACTTTTGTCCTGTTTTTTTCATTCTTCTATTTAACCTAATTTATATTTTTTTCCCAAATTCAATTACAGTAATTAATTAGAAAAACAAATTTTGTTTATACTTAAAAAAAACTATTATTTTTTAAAATAAATAATAGTAAGCACAAAATTGAGAATGAAATTTCTCGTATGGGATGGGTTTGATTATCTTAAATTTGACTCATTGGAATCCCTAACTATAACTATTATGCTAATTGGAGTTTTACTGACAATAGATTAAGCAGGACAAAAGAAAAACTACTATTATGCTGATTGGAGTTTTATTTTTTATTTTTATCCTGGCAAACAAGATAAGAACAGTGCTTGCAGATTTCATAGCAAACAAGACACTGGAACATGCTAGAGTGGCTATCGTCCCATGCACCATGATGACCATCAGTACAATATTTGACAGGTGGGCCCACAACTAACACCACACATCACGAGACGACAAACAAGGATGACGGAACAAAGCACTTAACCGGCGTACTGCCATCCCCGTAAGCGTCATCATCATGAACATCATCAGCAACATAGAACCCCCACCAAGCATAACTAGAAGCAACAAATAGCCACATTGGATATGCACAAAGTGGTCCATTAAGTCCGGCAACATCCATCCACGATCCAAAGGCCCATGCACCATGATGACCATAGTACAATATTTGACAGGTGGGCCCACAACTAACACCACACATCACGAGACGACAAACAAGGATGACGGAACAAAGCACTTAACCGGCGTATTGCCATCCCCGTAATCGTCATCATCATGAACATCATCAGCAACATAGAACCCCCACCAAGCATAACTAGAGCAACAAATAGCCACATCGGATATGCACAAAGTGGTCCATTAAGTCCGGTAACATCCATCCACGATCAAAAGGCAGTGGCTGCCAGCGGAAACACAACACTGATTGAGGAAAAGAGGGCCAACAAATAACCAACAACTGCATATCCATGAATTGACATAACAGAGGGCTTGCAACACCAGATCGGATGAAGCATAGACATCACCCTTGCAAGATTGAAGAACTGCAGCACCAAGATGTACCTAAAAAGCCATGGATGATGATCCAAGAAACACTGTTGACACCAACACAGTAAAGGCAAATTCGACCTCGCCAACAAAAAACACAAAACAAACATGACAAAAAAACAAGAAACAAAGGAAAAGAGATCAATACTCGGATCAAAAGGAAAGATCGGCGTAAATCGGGTATTGATTCTGCCAAGGCACAAAAACCCAAATTTTACAAGCTTCCACGTGCTCCACCGGCCAGACAACTGACAAGAGCGACGGACAGGAGAAGAGAGGGAAGCCATCCTGACAAACCACACCGACTAGAATTAAAGTTATGAGAGTAAATTGAGTTATGATTACAAATTGTGTTTATATGTATTTGATAATCATTAAAAACGCTACTAAAATTATAATGTGTTACTAAACACTTAACATTCTCTTCAAAAAAATTTTATAACTCAGTTATTAAATTTTTTTGATAGCCCTGTGATTGAAATGGTGGTCCCTCGTAACTGGAACGGGGGTGCCATATTCTCAAAATAAGGTAGACAAGGGTTTATTTATTAAATAACTTATCTAGTTGATGTTGACGAGGGTTTATTTATTAAATAACTTATATCAGTGATCATCAAATTTTATGTTCATGTCGTTAAACTTTTTAAATCCACTTATGTTAGCCTCAGAGTTTTGATGGGACCAAAACAAATTGTCCGGCAAAATATCCCGCTTCCTCCCAAGGCCCGATTAGAAGTATTATAGGGATGATTAAATGATTTTAGGATAGAGAAAAGTCACCCACCCGACTTATAGTCTTATAGTTCACTTACAGTCATGTAGTTCACAAACAATTTTGTTTTTATATTTTATTTTATATTCAATAGTGTTAAGTATATATTAAGCAAATCCTAATTTATTCTAACTAAATATTATTTTGTATTATTTTTATTTAAAAATTTCTATTTATTATTTTGATATTCCTGCAAATAATATTAAGCTCAAGTTCAAATTGAGAAGTTGAATATTGATTTTATCCACGTAAAAAAAATGATTACTATTATAGTTGAAAATTTATTTTATTATTTATTTTTGTTAAATTTTTAATACAATTGCAAAAGTAATATACAAAATCCGTCTCCGCCGTAACCCTAGCTCTCTTTAACGGTTTTCAATAGGGATGACAATTTCTTCTAACCCGCTGAGTTTCTGCCCCGCTCTGCTCCTAATGGAGCGAATTTGGTAGTTTTATAAATGGGTTTGGGACGGATATGGTAAAAGAATTGAAAACCCGAAGCGGGTTTAGGGCGGGGGCAGATTTAGTGATGCCCCCACCCACCCCTGCCTCAACCCCGATTATATATATATATATATATACTCCAACTATAAAGTATATATTTAATTTAAGTGTCCATTAATATATTTTGACTAAATATTCGCTAGAATCACTACTTACTAAAATTCGTGATTCAATCTTCAAATATTCAAGATCTTAGTATTCTATCCCAAGTTCAGGAATTAATTTAACAGTTTTAAATTTGCCGCAATTAAATGGAGTATGCCGGGCGGAGTCGGTATTTTGTTTACCGGAATAAGGGCAGGGATGGCATACCAATTACGTCCCAGAGTTGGAGCGAAGTTGGTATGACGAATTTTTTAACGGAACGGAGTAGGGTCTAGCTAACTTCACCCCAACTTCGTCTTGTTGTCATTCCTAATTTTTTATGAGATAGGTCTAACTATGTTAAACGAGAGTAAAAATGGAGATGGCCCTCCCAGCCCAAATCGTCCGGTTGCCATCCCTAGTCGGGACCAGCTACTAATTTATTGTTTTTGTGTAATTTCCCAATTGTAAGATAGTAACTAGTAAGATAGGAATCCGTGTAATTATGGTAAGTATCAATGTACATAAGTGCAATTTAGTGGACCTACTTCTTGTTAAATTTCAGTGTTTACCGTGATCTAGTAGTAAAACCTTTCGTTTTCCGAGTCTTTTGAAACTCAAAAACCCCAGAAGAAGCGAAGCATTCGTCGATCCAACACGGGTCTCCGTCTCTGATTGGATCTAGAGAGAGAAACAAAAACAATGGCGGGCGTCTCTCTGAAGTGCGGCGAATGTGGGACCCTCCTGAAATCGGTAGAAGAAGCTCAAGAACACGCCGAGCTCACCGCTCACTCTAACTTCTCTGAATCCACCGAAGCCGTCCTCAATCTCATCTGCACCTCCTGCCGCAAACCCTGCCGCTCCAAAACCGTACAATTCAACCATACATACACCCAATTATATACCTATAATTATATATATCAAGAATCAAGATTGATGTATAGATACACGTATGTATTATGTATCTGTATTGTTGTGATCGTTGTGGATTTGATTTGTGTGTTTTTGGAATTTGAAGGAGAGCGATTTGCACACAAAGAGGACTGGGCATACTGAATTTGTGGACAAGACATCGGAGGCAGCGAAGCCGATAAGTTTGGAGGTTTCCAAGGATACGGAGGGCGATGTGGAGATGAAGGAGGCTGGTGATGAGAGTAGTAGTAGCCAATCGGAAGGTACTCTCTTGTGTGATATAGAGTATTGCTTCTGTCTGACTTTTTGTGTAACTAATGGATGCTTGAATTCTGGGTCTGTCTGATATTGCAGATTTGCAGTTGGTGCCTTTGCAACCTGGATTTTTCGTTTTATTTGATCATTTAACAAAATAATACCCATTTGTGTTTAAATAATGTAACTATAAGTTTGATTTTTCTGTAAATTTAATAATATATATTGTCAAGGCTGAATCTTTAGAAATTTAAAACTGAATGAGATGAATTTCGGTTGAATTTTTTGAAATTACTGATAAAAATTGTTTGCTGAACTGGGTTTAATGCTAACTTGTTAAGGATTGAAATGGATAAACCGTGTGAGTGTGGAATGTATTTTGCTTAATTTTCTTTGTTATTTAATAGAGCTTGTTGTCGGACGCATTGGTGTTGGTTGGTTAAAGTTGGAGAGTTGTAGGTGCTTATCTTTTTAAATTATTTATTTTCTCTGATATTAATTGAATTGCTGCTCTTTATTTTTTGTCTAGAAATGGTTGTTCCAGAAGTCGATCAGAATCTGGTTGGGGAACTTGAAGCAATGGGATTCCCGAGGGAAAGGGCCACCCGGGCACTTTATTATTCTGGTGACGTCTTTTCTTCATCAGAATATTTTATATCTTATCATTAGTGTGGTTTTGTTTTTGTTTTTAAATACTGTTATTGTTAATTGATTTTACATATTAAATAGTACATAGTTGGTTGAGAACAGTAAGAGTTTTAAAGTTCGTCGGGTAGAGGTCAGGTTGGAATTAAGTCATTTACAGGGAAATTATATGCATCCTGATTCCTGAGAATACACAGGATCTTATCTTCATCCCAGAAAATTCCTATACAATTGAAACATAACATCTTGTCTGAATTCTTCTTTAGAATCTTTTTGCAGCATGTTGAGGGTCAATCTATGTCGCAGCAGTTTGTTTGTCAGCTGATACAATTTTATTTTATTTTTTGTAGAAATTCAACATAATAGTTTTCCTTTTCTGAACATCTTTTGCATTTGATTAAATGTTATAATCTCCCTTGCTTGGATGCCAAATACTTTGTTCGTCATTTTGCGCAGTATGCATATGGTATAATTGCCGTGTCCCAAGTAAAATACCACAATTAAAATGTTATTATCATACCAGTTTGAGGTTGAATAGCTCTTAGTTTTGGTTTATTCATTCATTTATTTTCAAGTCTTTCAGTGGTTACATTATTATTTATTTTTATTTTTGGAATTAATTAAATTGTGTCCACATTGCATGCATTTTTGTTTGATATGCTCTTTAGCAAATTTATAGAACAATTTGCCTGATTGAATGGCTTGTGAATGTTTCCATCTTATGTTGTATCAGTATTATGTAATACCCTCTATTTTTTTTTTCTCAGGTAACAATAGCCTAGAGGCTGCTGTGAATTGGGTGGTTGAACATGAGAATGACCCAGACATAGATAAGATGCTGTTGGTAAGATATATTTTTTCAGGATGCATCTTATTAGCATCCTGCACATCTCTTTTCCCGCTTTCATTTATTTCGTGTTCTTGTTTTACCTTTTTAATGCATTAAATTTGGTCAGCCTCCTATGAAGCTAAGCATGTCACTACATGGTTTTTTTTAGCTCTATGCTATATGGTTATTCACATTTATTTTGTGACTTGCCCAAATAAAACAATACGTGATGCTGGTGATATATTAAGACATAAACTGGGTGATGGGGGCTTTGGGAGACTTGACAGCGCACTTTGAGATGAGCATTACCTGAAACCACTTTTAATCTATGCATTTGTTCGTTCCTATATGGGCCTTTGTGGCATGATTGTAGCTTTGAGATCCTTTCTTGAACAAGTTTGTTTTAAACAAAGCTCCCTAGTTGCTGGTTGCTTGTTGGTTGTCTGGTAGACCATTCTTTCCACATTGGCACAAATTGCTTTTCTGTTTTTGTGATTGATGTTGATTGCTGTGAGTTCATTTTTGTGGTTCTCTTCTTTTCAATTGATCAGTTGAGTGCATCTTCATAAAAACTGATTTCATGCATGCTGTTGTAGAATTTTATACTTTAAACAAGTGTTCACTTATTATTGTATATACTTGCCCCCACTAAAGTTTTAGCCTTTTAGATCATGAAAAAGAGTAATCTCCCCCTCTTGTCATGTCAATGGTGGAGCACATTAACTCTTTTTTTTTGGTTTTTTTTTGTTATTTTAGTTTTGTATGTCTATCTTCTAATGATTGTATATATGCTCCTACAAAATTACTTTATAAAATTATCCTTGGTCTTAAAATCCAACACAAAGGCAAGAGAGAAAAGGGAGGAAGATGCATGTTTTCGCAAGCTAATTACTAGGTTGGTCTAACAGCTTTTGTTTCTTGTTTGTAATTTTCTTTTAATACAAGAAAACATACCATGGCAGTGGCATATTTAATTATATATATTAAGAGAGATATATTTAACGGCATTGAAAATGAGATACCAGATTTTCAAACAGTGAAAACTCATCAAATACAATTATAAATTTATTGAATTGAAATATATTATCAATCTACATTTACATATTTGTATTTATTATCTTGGTTCAAAAAAATTTAATCTTATTATTATTTAATGCTGCCCCCACTAGGAAAAAATGTTGGGTTGGTCACTAGTTACAAGGTAGTATGGCAAAATGCACTTTGGTGCTTTGATGCCTAGCTTCTATGGTTCTCTTATTGCCCTGACAGAGTGAAACATTACTTTGATAGTATTAGTGCCTTATTTACTTAATTCTGCATAGGTACCTGCTAACACCAAAGTTGAGGATCCTAAAACTTCTCTTACACCTGAGGAAATGAAGATCAAAGCACAAGAACTGAGGTATATTTAATGTATGCCTTCTTGCGTATTATTGACGGTATCATGTTTATTGTATTTGGTCACCTAGGGGATTTAAGCTTTTGAGGGCACTGGTTACCACTTACTTTTACCCCTTCACTACTAATCATCTTGAAAGAAATAACCTTTTAGATTCTTTTTTCTTCTTCTGACTTCCATTTTTAAACTACAGCTGCTTTTATATATGCACAGTCTAATTTGGAATTGAAGTGTTTAAAATTGTTAGATATTTTTTTTCTCCCCCCTGCCCCCTTTCTGGAAAAAAAAGGACGACAAATGCTTAGTTTGAATTTTAAAAATACTGAAACTACTTATGTTTTGGTGGAGAAATTAAAATTGTTCAACATTTTGGTACTTTTCATCAACTCTCTTCTCATGTTACAGGTAATATTGTTGATTAATTGAATACAACTTTTTCATTGTGGCCATATGGATTATGTAGTACACGTGGCATATAAACAATTGTAAAAGTGTCAACAATCTATTTATGTACTTGAGGTTATTTGCTTTAATTTGGTAAGTTGTGATGATGACCAATTATACTATCTTGAAGCCTCAAGGTTTCGTTCATCTATTTACATTTATCATATGTTGCACGCTAAAGATTACTGACAGTTGATTAAAGTTAGGACAGGTTATAATAATCAGGCAAACTTGTTAACTTATTAATGTTGAAGTCACCTCTTTAAAGAAGCTCATGTCAGTGTTATCTTCTCGAGGAACACCCAATCTCCCTGGACAGATCTTGTTGTAGATAGCCCTCGCTGTTGATTCTTCATATGCAGCGTCTCTCAAGGGCCATCAGTGATATTTAACACAGCAACATCTTTTCCACAAGATAAGCCTTGTAGCCTGCTCTTATATTGTGAGGATTTCTTCCCCACAGATTCTCGCTCTCAATTGATCATCTCATGGAATTTCGAAGGTTACATAAAGGCACGTTGATGTATGTACATCATACAATGTCTAAGTTGGGAGCAGGATTTATTTAATTCGAATCACTCAAGGCTGGCTTTCATATTATTTACAAGGCCTTGGCATTGATTTGTCTCTAGTGACTTAAGCTGCCACTCTCTCTCCTTCTGAGAAGATATTGTGTGAGCCGGGCATACCACTTCATTGGTATACCCAACCAATGAAAATTCACCCTACTATGAAAGTGGTTCCACCTACTTGAAAAAGCTGCCCTCAACAACCTAATATGGTGGATTAAAATTGGTTGGGCATACCAATGACGTGGTTTGCCTGGCTCACCGAATATATACTCGTTTCTCTCCCCCTCTATTATATATATATATATATATATATATTGAGTCAATTAGGGTGGGCCTTGGTGCATCTGTTGTGATCTGGAGGTCATGGGTTAGAAACAAGGAAATAGCCTCTTTGAATGCTGCATGCAGATGTAAGGCTTTATACATCTGACCCTTCCTAGACCCCTGGCAGGAGCCTCGCACTAGGCTTGCTTTTGTTTTTTTATATATGTCGTGTCAACCCTAATCTTCATCCTAATAAGTTAATAACTACACCTTTCTGTTTTCCTAATTTGGGTTTTCTCTTATCCTATTTATTTTCAAGAACCTGCATCTAAGGTGACTCTACCGGAGAAGGTTTCTCACGAAATGGAACAGTGTGAATTCATATTGTAACTATGCTTGCTAGGGCATGAAGAGGGTCAGGTTGGACCTGATATTTGGTCATAAATCCATTATTTAGGATTTGGATTGCATTTTTTAATCCAAATTTTAAAATTGGTCGGATATGGTAATTTCTCCAAAGATCCATCTGCATTGGCCATTGGATTAAAAGCAGATTGATACTCATATCCAAGTTTCCAAACATGTCCCTGATAAAAATGCTATTAATTATTATGCAGTACTGGGAACATAAAATTATAGTTGCGATTCTAGTGAAGTTAATATGTTTTGAGAAAGTAGAGAGTCCTACTCTTTCTCTCTCTTTCTATAGACTTCACTCCCATCAGTTTCTCTGTCTAAAACAAAACCAACTTGAGAACAATTCTTCACCTCCTTCAACAATCATGACTACCCTTAGCCTCAGTCTTGTCTCAGTTTTTCCTCTCTCTCATTTGTACCACTGAAATATGCCACCAATACAAATCCCCCATGGATCTGGCATAATCACAGCAACCATCACTTCCATGTTTTGCAACTTAGCCGCCCAACCTTAGCACAGTCAACACTACTGCAACCACCAATGACATTGCATTGCGCATGACAGGCTTCAATGGATAATTGCCATGCATGCCAGCAGTATGAATCTCTATCCTTCTCTTAAGATTTGGCAGTGTCTACTGTCTAACCCTTTTAATTTCTCTAATAGTTTTATTTTTATCCTCTTTTTTTATTGCTCAGCAAGTTTAAATTGGTAGGGTAGGAGCCTCGGGATTGGCCTGAAATCTCTTTCAATCCAAGAACATTTTAAACGCGGTCTATTCAGATTATCCATGTATGACATGGACCTAGTATGGATTTTGTTTTAGAATCTGGCTTGGATTTGGATCTGAATATGGACAAGAAGAATAAGCAAAGCTCCTGATTCAGCTGCCCAATGGACGTGTCTTATATCACATATGACGGTTATCAGGGTCATGCCCATATATCTTAATCATTGGAACCCCATTCTGAATTTAACACTGCCAAAACTACAGCAAACAAAAATGTAATAAAAATCAAGCCAGCTCCGGAAACCTTGTTTGTTCCAACTTTTTGTTGTTGTTCTTTATAATGTTACCGTATGTATTTTTATTAATTTTTAAATTTACAAGAGTTTTGAAGTTTCCTGTGAAAATTATTTTGTCTATGTTCTTTGACAAACAATACATTCACCACACTTTGTTTTACATGGCACCATCTGTTTGCTTGTTTCACTATGTCTGATTTTGTTGTCTCATAGTAATTGATCTTTTCAATCTTTAAGGGAGCGAGCTCGCAAGAAGAAGGAAGAGGAAGAGAAGAGAATGGAAAGAGAAAGAGAGAAGGTACTTGCTATTTTTTCTTAGTTACTTCCCTTACATTATATTGACCATGCATTGTCATGGTAATCTGTTACAGATTCAAACTTTCATATTAAAATTGGGAATACGGATACTGAAATTTGAGTTGAAAATATTCCTTTTTTATTTTATTTTATATATATATATATTTTATGTTTTTTTTTTTTTTTTTTTTCTTTGTATATGGGTGTGCCTTTTGTATTTCGATTGATTACAGTTTCGTCTTGATTGATTTTGATACTTCTGTTAGAGTAATGATGATATGAACACTGAAAATAAATGGGAGTCCATTTTACATTGGAAACCATTTGATGCATAGAAGTTTCAATTGCAATTGCATAGCTCTAATCTAAAAACTTAACATCATAGCATACACTGAACACTTGAACACCCCCCCCACCCCCCCCCCCCCCCCCCCCCCTTCTCTTCCCCCCTTTTCCTCTTCTTTGGCCCAGGGTGAGGGCTATCCACTGCATGTTTCATCTTCATGATGCATAATTCTGCAGATCTCTCTTGATTGTTGTGCCTATTTGATTCTTTTGCCTATACCTTAATAACATAGTTTCCGTGTTTTCTGAAGGAGAGAATTCGAGTGGGTAAGGAACTTCTTGAAGCAAAGCGAATGGAGGAAGAAAATGAAAGAAAACGGTTTGTCTTCACTACTAGCACTTTTTTCAATATATACATGTGTGTATAATGTATACATTCTAGCAAATTCTTGAACTTTTCCTTTAAAGTGACACATGCATTCTACTCTTGCAGTATATTAGCATTGCGAAAGGCTGAGAAAGAAGAAGAGAGAAGAGCCAGGGAAAAAATCCGACAGAAATTGGAAGAAGATAAGGTCTGAATATTTTATACCTGTCTGTTTTTTGTCGTAATTAAGCTTTAGTAATTAGCATGTTGAACAGTAATTCATCATCTACTAATTTTTTTTTTTTGCAATTCGTCCCTTCCCATTAGCAGAAGACAACATCTTCTCGATGCTTTTAGATGTGAAGTCTCATATTTTAAGTTTTAAGTGCTTAATTTGAAATCTAAATAACTGTTGGTGCTGTCTTAGTTTTGATTATTGAATTATTAGAACTGTTTGATTAGTACAACAAAGTGAAGTCTGAAAAAATTTTAATTTACAGTTTTGACATTATTCTAATGAAAGAATCAAGAATCGCTTAACAGAAAAATCTCAAAACACCAGGTTTAATATAGCTTCAATTTACAATCCCAATAATGGCTCAAAAAGAACTAAACACCGAACCCTAAGAATCATGAGTTGATCTCATAGAACAATACATACCCATTGACTAAAAATCGAACCTTAAGTCAATTGTATTATTTGAGACCAACAAACTCCGCGAATTCCAATTTATGATCTCTTTGAGCTGATTACCAAAGGCCAGCTGCATGACTTTGATTTGGTTAATTTCACATAAGGATAATTAATGAGATCATGGTTGACCGTATGTAACAAGTAATTACTGAGTACCCAGAGTTCCTGGTCATGATTTCTGAAAGATTGCATTGTAAATTTTGGTTTATAATTCTTTGTAGTTCCTTGAACCACTTTAAACAATATGTTTACTCAGGCAGAAAGAAGGCGGAAGCTTGGATTACCGCCAGAAGATCCTGCTGCTGTAAAACCACCTGCACCTGTTGTGGAGGAAAAGAAGGTATGGTAGTATGGACTTGTTTGAATTCTTCAAAATCTAGTAGGAGTTTCTGCTTTAAATCACCTTTTCTTTCATCCAAATTGCAGATTTCATTGCCTATTCGGCCTGCTACAAAGACAGAGCAAATGAGAGAGTGTCTTCGATCTCTCAAACAGAATAATAAGGTAAATAATGACTACTTTGTATGTTTAAATATTCCAAAAGTTCCATTCTCAAGTGTTTTTTAGATAGAAGAGTTTGTGTATGTGGGTCCACGATACCACACAGCCCAACTAACCCAAAGATAAATTGGTTTCCATCATGTTGTCAGATAATGAGTTTAAATTTTACCGTTTGTCTTCTTGTACGTATATATTGTTTATATCATTATGTACTTTCTTTCCACATAAAAAGGGATAGGGGCTTCCTTTTTGGTCCTGGGTCTTTAAGTGAGATTTATGCATTTCACCACGTAGCTTTAGTGAGAAGATTTGGTAGACCATTACCCCGTGTTCTCAAGCCAATGAGGTGGACATTAAAATAAGCTATTCTAGACGTTTGACTTGTTAGGGGACATTAAATTTGTATTTATATGTGCTGTGGCTTTAAAACTCTAAAACAAGAACTTAATGACCACTGAATAATATTGACGAGCCGAGGGGGGAAAAAAAGATTAATACTGATAAAACATATATTTAGAAATAGTTTATTTTCTTCGAGTCATGCAAGTTTTCAGAGGACAGCCTTACCAACAAAGCTTTGATTTGATATATCAAGTTTTCAGAGGACAGCCTTACCAAAAAAATAAAAAGTTATCAGAGTACCGTTAAATGAGTTATTAATTAACTAACATTTGGTTTGTTTCCTGTGGGACTAGGATAATGATGCCAAAGTGAAGGCGGCATTTAATACTCTTCTAACTTATGCAAAGAATGTTGCGAAGAATCCTGATGAGGAGAAATTCCGGAAAATTCGGCTCAGTAATGCTACCTTTCAGGTGAGAACTTCTGTTACAAATATTGTTGAAATCAAATTTTCTTTGGAACTCAGATATCAATGTAGTGAACAGTAGTACTTTCTTCCACGAATGTGGCCTGTTTTGAAATTGTTTTGTTGTGTATGATAAATTTATATTAATAGTGTGTATTTTATCGTAACCATTGCAATGATAATATTAAACAATAAACTGCCTTGATTGGTCCATTATCCGCTCAATTGTTTTTCTATGGTTGCATAGAATCACTATGAATTCTTTGAAACTGCCCTCCGTGCACTACCTGTTACAAAAATATACCATTTTCCCAATATTTCTTCTAATTTTCATTTTATTGTTGTTTTTGTGGCTATGTTTCTCAGGCTAGGGTTGGTGCACTGAAAGGAGGCATTGAATTTCTTGAGCTGTGTGGGTTTGAGAAAATCGAAGGGGGTGAGTTCTTGTTTCTTCCTCGGGACAAAGTTGACATGGAAGTGCTGAACTCAGCTGGGAGTGAGTTGAACAATGCAATAAACAATCCCTTCTTTGGAGTTCTCTGATCCCTCCCTATTCCCTTACTTATGTTACTCTGTAAAAGTCATGTTATTTATATTTTATTCTATTTTAGTTTTGATAAAATCCAAAATTGCTGACTTCTTGTGTTGGCTATGAAAAATTAGGGATGTGTGACTTGGTACATGAATTGGTTGATGAACCATCACTAATTGAAGCAAGGTTTTTCTTATATTTTCTTGTTTAATACCCTTTATAGATTTCGTTTATTGCAAATCTGTGAGAACTACGCTTGTCATTCAATGCCCTCCTGCAATATTATGTGCAACGTCCCGTTCCTTCATTTCTGATTCTATACTTTTGTCGTCGTAGTTTTTCACTGTCTACAAGTTATTATCATTATTATTGTTATTTTGGATTATTATTTTTATTTTTGGGTTGAATTAGGACTATGTAGGAGGGAGTCCTAATTGTTTCTTTGTTTCAAACAAGACACCTCCCGTAAGCTTTGAGACTCTTTATATTACTTACTCAAAAACAGGCTTTGAGACCATCACTCAACATACTCATGAGTAATAAAAATACAGAACTCCCAATGTAGCTGATGGATGATTTGATGTTTAGGGCTGTAAATGTAAATGAACCAAGCTGATGGATGATATGATGTTTAGAGTTTCAGTTCTGGCTCAGCTCGTTTAGTAAAAAAATCAAACTTTAGTATAGTGCGTTTGAGCTCGTGTTTCATGACCTATACAGGCCTAAAACTTATGTTTATGAATGAATTTACGTTTATGAGCATATACAAGTCGAGTCTAGCAACGGTTGAGATTGGCTCATGTAGTAATCGAGGTTGAACGAAGCCAAAGCGGGAAAAGGACAATTGCCATGGTTAATGAAATGGTTCGAGGCTGTGCTTGCCGACATGTCTAGTACTTAGTTCAATCATACGTAGTTAGGCTGGACCCTTTGTGGCTTGCCTTTATTGTCGGCACATTGTTTGCATATCATCGGCACATTAGAAGAAGCTTCTACAACAAAAGGAAAAGGATAAATGTATGAATCAATGGAACAGTAATAGATGGGAACCACTAAATTATTGACCTATCTTCTGTCACACATGAACCTTTGTCCTTTTTATAACCTATTTTATCTTAAACTGAATATTCTCTTCTCACCCAGACGCCAGCTCATTCACAAAATTTGAAAATTACTGATATTTTCTCTAAAATAAATTGTGCAAAAAGTTAGGAAACGAAACTAGCATAGGGGCTCATTCAATCAATAGCAAGGTTACTACATTGTGATCCACATTCTAGTTCAAATTTTCTGTTTCAAAATCAAAATAATCATTCAACATGTAACGATAAAATTGTGTACATCTAATTATTTTTAGACCGACAATACTTTCATAAAATCAAATCAAAATTCATATTTATATATATCAACTCAAACATTGATGCCATATTTTAATATATCAACTCAAAATATTGATGTTCTATTCAGTACTATCAAACAACAATGTCCTACTCATGTCAAACGAATTCAATATAAACATGAATTTTAAGAAAACCCAACCATTAAATTTGAACAAATTTATATCCAAATTCAAAAGAAAAAATATATATATATACTCATAAATAAGTTGGCAACTTTGAGTATGAATCCCAGGAAAAAAAAAAAATCCCTCAAATAAAGTGAGGTAAATAAATACATTAGCAAATTTGATATGGACACGTGTAATGATAAACGTTTAAGCTCAACTCTATCTAACTGGCACTTAACCCTTTCTTTGAGTTCTCTCTCTCTTCACGGTGTGTGATGGTTCCGCAAAGACGATGACTGGAGAGAGAATGAGATCTTCCTCCAGCTCTGAAAACCCTAGAAGCCTCTGCTCTGACCACAATCATTTCCAATCATTCTGACTGAGATCATCAACATGGTGAAGAAGCGAGTCCCAGACTGGCTCAACAGTTCTCTCTGGTCCTCCTCCACTCCACCGCTTGACGAGGATCGCATCAGCCGTTACGCCTCCAAATCCACCGCCACTTCAACCGACTCCTCGGAGGAGTCTCCTGTTCAGCCGCCCGTTCCGGTGCTGCCTCCGGCTGTGGTGGCAAGACAAGAGCCTCCTAAAGAGGAAACTAGGGATCCTTCCAGCAAAAATGACAATGGGAGTTCCGCTGCTTCTTCGGCTGAAGACATTTCTCGCCAGGCTCAGCTCTTACAAGAGGTGAGTTTATTTCTCTGTCTCTATATATATATATTTATGTGTGTACATACATATGTTTATATGAATTGTATAGTCACATGACTCTTTAGTATCCTCCACTCTAAATCTCTTTCGCGGTCCTTACTCAAAATTTATGTAATTATCATTCAATTATGTTATGCCCTTCGGGTTCTGCTATATTCAATGTTCTCTCTTTTGCCACCCCCCCCCCCCCCCCCCCCCCCCCCCCCCCCCCTCCCCTTTTTACTTCCATCTTTTTTATATAAATTTTTTTTTTTGGAATAATTAGCGATTGATTTTGTTAAATGTAGCTTTCAAGGAAGGTTGTAAACATGGGTGAATTGCGGAAACTTGCGTCACAGGGTATACCAGATGCTGCCGGCATTCAATCTACTGTGTGGAAGGTATAAAATTGTTCTTACTGCAAATTAAGTTAAATTGAATAAAATTGCACATATGATCTACTTGCTTAAATTATCAGTCCCAATAAAAAGATTGCAAATACTATCATAGTGAAAAGAAAGAGTGACACTGCTGCAAGTTGATGGAGAGAAAACACATATCTAGCATTTGAATGTCTAGAGTGATCGGTTTAAAATTTTGGCAGCTCTTATTGGGTTATCTGCCAAGTGATCGAGGACTTTGGTCGTCAGAATTGGCTAAGAAGAGGTCTCAATACAAGCATTTTAAAGAGGAGCTTTTGATGAATCCTGTGAGTTCTAGAAATACTTTTTGTACCCTCATCACATTCATGTTTAACTCTATTTAATAATATTGTTTGGGTTGGGAATGAACCAAAATGCAACTGAAATAGAGGGGTGTAGGCTCTCTCAGTTAACTTCTGTCCTCAGTGGGGTTGAGCATTTTTAACCAGCAAACAAGGCTCATATTTGTGATATTGTTGACTTCTTCAAATCATTATCATAATGGGGTCAGACACATGAATTATATTTTTTCATTCTTTTCTATTACAAGCCATCTCTCTTATAATATTTAACTTTTTTAAAATCATTTCTAATGATTTCATCCCATATTAAATTCGGTCGCCCTCTTTGTCTCCTACCTTCTATGCAAATTATTCTCCCTCATCATACCGGAGCATCTGTAGATATTCTTTGAATATATCCATTCCACCTAGGTCTATTTTCTCTTACCTTTTCACTAATCGGCGTCACTTCTAATTTCTCCCTCACATATTGATTGGTAACCCCATTACTTCTAGTCGCCCTTATTATCCACCTTAATCTGTATTTCCGCTACATGAATTTGTTGTTCCTATTTCCTTTTAAAGCCTGACACTCTGAACCATATGAAATAGCTGGACTAATAGGTATTCAAAAAAATTCCTTTTAATTTACCTATTATTCTTTTATCGCATAAAATCCCACTAGCCCGTCTCCATTTTCTCCAACTTGAATAAGCCATCAGGTCCCTACATCAAACTAATTAGGGGCTATAAATTCAAATTAGATTGACAAATGTGAATTTATGTATTAGTTGAGAATTTGAGATGGAAGTGGTAACTAAACTTGTTTCTTATGGTCAGAGAAAATCATTCAGTAAGTTAATCGTTTGGTCAATGCCTCTCTGGGTACCTTTTCTCATTTAAGTGACAGGTGTTTTTCTTAGTTGAGAGAGATTTTTGGGTTCCATAACTCCTCTTGATATAGACTTTAGTAAGTCACAGTCAATTGGTGACTTATTCTTCACACAATTAGAAAGTTCTTGTAAATATTGAGCCTTTTCCTTGTCTTTTCTTAGAATCCACCATTAGGGATAGGATCTGTTGCTGTAGACATGTAGTTAGTATGGGTCGTTTGAACCAAAGTTTTACAACTTATCCAATGTTAACCTCCTTTATTATTACAATTACAATTTCCTGCCTACATCGTCTTCTTCAGGCTTCAGGTACAATACAATTAGTTTTACTTCTCTTTTCAGAGTCTAATATGCCTCTGCAGTCTTATGTTTGAATATTATCTGGGAAGTGAAGGTTAGGATAACAATATAGCGGTTGTTTGCTTCATGTAAGATTTAAGTTTGCATTCTGTATATATGTCTCTATTGCATTTGTATCTGTACCAAATTGTGGTTCTAATTGTTTCTGTGGCTAGTCAGTCAGAAATTACAAGAAGGTTGGATAAGTCTGGCAGTTATGAAAATGATGAATCAAAAAGTGCATGCGATGGTCCTCTCTCTAGATTGGAAATAACTCATGGAGAGCATCCTTTGAGTCTTGGAAAGAGCAGCATCTGGAATCAGTTCTTCCAGGTAACGGATTAAGTCACATCTGAAGATGTTTCATGTGTTAAACAGTTTGGAATGCATGTTCTCTTAAAAATTCATCTATGCAGTAGTCCTCCTCAAAGATATAATCTCAAAATGCAGTATCTGTTCTACAAGCCCAGCTATCCTTTTACCTTTTTAGGGTAATAATTGGATGACCCTTGCACGATTGAGTAGGGAAAGAAGGGTCTGGGGTGATTGGTTGTGGGAACATTTGCTCATGCTTTTCGTTTTTTATAGGGTAGATGTTTTAATGTATAAAATATGCTGGGGTGGATTTATCGATTGTTTGTTCATATTCTACTGCATATTATCACAAATATGATACATCAGAATGGACTGTTCGTATCACAAATGCTATAGCAATATTATTTCCGCTTCAGACAATATATATTATTGTATGCAGATGCTGCCTCCTAGTTACGTGCATTCAATTTTCTTTTGTCTGTCAGTCATCATGTCAATATAATAGCTTTCTTGGCTATCATGGTATTCAGAAACACAACTGTGGGGCTTTCCAAATGGGTGCAAATCAATACACCATATGCTGTTTTACAGAAATTCTTGGTTACAGCTGGTTGCGATACTGTACTTTGATTTCATGCACATTATTTGACTCCAACATATGCAACTTGTAGGACACAGAGATCATAGAGCAGATTGATCGAGATGTGAAGCGCACCCATCCCGACATGAACTTTTTTTCTGGAGATTCACAGTTTGCAAAATCCAATCAGGTGAAACTCTTGTTAGTTGGAGTGAGTTCTGTTACAAGAATAAGCATTGGTTAAGTTAAGCATGTCTGTTGTTTTCAGGAGGCTCTGAGGGACATATTGATTGTATTTGCAAAGTTGAATCCTGGTATAAGATATGTGCAAGGAATGAATGAAATTTTGGCACCTTTATTCTATGTATTCAGAAATGACCCTAATGAGGAATATGCGGTAGGTAAATGCAATTATGTTTGTTTCTTTTTACAAATTCAATTTTATTTCAGTTGAGCTGTTGAATAGCTTTATTTATTCATTTATTTATTTTTTGTGAGTTGATTCATTTATTGCTACAGTTTGGATTTCTAGCAATACCGTAGTTGTTGGTTACGATGGACTACTTTTTGGTAGTTTAAATATTATCCTGATTTGAAATGTAATAATATACGTTTTCATCGTCTTTTTCTCTATAGGATTGCACCAGGAACTTGTTAGCTTTAATTTTTTCCTTATCCAGTAAAGCTACAATCTATTTGTTCTATTATTCTAAGTTATGCTTTTAGATGCAATTGTTTGTCTAGTGCGTTTCATTTACAAATTTTATTATATATTAGCTAATTATTTTATTCCCCTTTTCTATGTTCTTGAGGAGTTCTGTTATTTTTGTATTAGGTATTTTATCTAGAATGTGACAGATTTTCACTTTATCCTAAAAGTCAAAACACACACCTACATTAAATAGCATGAATGTTATAAAAAAACCATTACCGCAACACCATGTGGCCTCAATTAATGAAGGACGCTGGGACTGGAAGACTGGGGATGGACTTGGCATTTTTTGAACAATATGGCTAGACTTGAAATTTTGTTCTCATGTTTGGTATATATAGCTTTTACAATTGCATCAAGGTCTTTATTTGATCTAATTATTTATATTCTTTCATTTGAACCCCTTTATTTTCTTATGGTGGATGTTGTGAATAGTTTGTATATTATCTTCAGTTAAAATATATTAATGGATCATTCACAATTCCTCAATGATTTAAATTTTTATTCTTTTAAATTTTGATTTGAGACTGCTTTCGTCTTTTCTTTTGGAAATTTTAATTACTAAAAACTTCTTTAAGAGTCAAGAAGGTGCATGTATTTGTGTTGTGAGTACTCTCTCTAAAACATGCAAATTAACTTTTCTTCTACAGACTTGCCCACCTAGCACATCAGAATATCTTGGTAGGACCTTACTGATGAGAGAGATTTGTAAGCATCCTTAAAGAGCAGAGCCAGACCCAGAAATATTCAGTTGGGTAGGGGGACTAGTACTATGTTTTAAAATTTAAAGAAATATAAAATAATTGTAATAATTTTTCCTTCAAAAAAGGTCGTAATATATTCTTAAGAGCATGTCTATCATGAGCTCACTCTAACTAAGCTTGCATCCTTGAAACCTTCAGATTGAAAGGCTGATCACACAGCCTTGCAATTCCAATGGTTATAAAGGTGCGGGATTTGCGAGAGCAAACAGCAGTTGACAAAAGAGGCTATCATGTGTGGTTGCGTCCCTTTTTCTTTTTTTTTTTCTTTTCCCTCTTTTGAATTTGTATAGAGAATAGAAATTACACATACACAGACACATGTATATGAATGGAGTGTTGATATATTATAATAAGGACCAACACGACTTACCTTTTTTTTTTTTTTTCAAACTATTTTCCGGTAATAGGGATTATGCCCCCCCTCCCTCCCTCCCCTCCTCCTCTCTTCCTGCAGTTCTGCCCCTCTTTAAGAGGCTTTCTAATTATTTTAGTATTTTTGCAATCATAAATAAATAATTTCACCATGTTGTTATGGGACCTTTTATGAACACATCATTTTCTACTTAGGATTGATCTATCTCCATTTATCATCTATTGTTAACCTTTCCACTTCCTCATCAGTATGTTTTCTGTCTTTGGTTTCATTTTATTTATCATTCTCCATTTTTTTTTTATGCAGGCCTCTGCAGAAGCAGACACGTTCTTTTGTTTTGTCGAGTTATTAAGTGGATTCCGGGATAATTTCTGTCAGCAACTTGACAATAGTGTTGTGGGAATCCGTTCCACAATTACTAAGTTGTCACGGCTTTTAAAGGAGCATGATGAAGAGCTGTGGCGTCATCTTGAAGTCACAACCAAAGTAAGACTTCTTTTCCCACCTCCCACCACCCCCCCCCCCCCCCCCCCCCCCCCACCACTTGAAGGATGGAAATAAGACATTAGTATACCGTTTGTTTCTTTCCTTTTGATTCAAGTGCTCAATATTATATATATTAAATATTTTTCTCTTAACAAACTGAGTGGCTTCTTGAAATAGTCACCAGACACATCATCTAGTGAACCACATTTGGATGCATATGTTAAAGGGTCATTCTGTTTTAGATATTGCAATCATCGTTCCCGCTTCCCGCATGTAGTGTACCAGAATATTTAATGATCAAATGGCTGAAAAATAAATATCAACTTATACAGAACACAATAATCTACGTTTGATTAGATTTTCTCTAGTACTTGACATTGTGAGAATGGCACAACCCCCACACTACATGCACTAGGTTCCAGTTTTGATTCATGAAGACATGATGTCTCCTGTAGAGATTTTCAAGTGTCTTGCACTTCTCCCTTGTGTGTGTGTGTGTGTGTTGTGGGTGGGGGGGGGGGGGCGGCGGGTGTTTACAAAGGAATGCTGTTTAGCTGAAAATGGCTCCACAATCCCTGACCAGTGGAAAACAAGAGATATTGTGGTTCTACCTTTCTGATAGACCTGATAAATAATTTCGACCAATATGATTTGAATAGAGCTCTGATTACTATTGATGTTCTATATTTTGAAGCAGCTAACGTTTTTTGTGTGTTGTGTTTTATTTTCGTAAGTGGATAAAAATTTTCTGTTAAAATATATTGTTTTTAGCTTTCTGAGTCTAGCTTTGTTTGAAGCTTCTGCTCTAATATACCGAAGAGCTGATGAAAATATATTTAAGCCCTCCTGTTTTTCTAAAATAACAGGTCAATCCGCAATTTTATGCATTTAGATGGATTACTCTCCTCTTGACTCAAGAATTCAATTTTGCGGACAGCCTTCACATATGGGATACACTTCTCAGTGACCCTGAAGGTCCTCAAGTAAGTTTGTTCTTTTCTTTGTTTCCTTTTTGTTTAAAAAATCCTTCATACTTGTTTAGGATGCAATCTCTATTTTTCTTTATGCATACAAGAGCTGTTTTTGTCTTCGGATAATTCTAGGCCGCACACTTCCATTTGGGTAACAAAACTGGGGATGAATGCAGTAAACCCCATTGTTGTGAGGCTTCTCTCCTTTTGGGCAGGCAGGCAGTTCTGTTTGTTGCCAATTTGATGATTTGTGTGTGTGTGTGTGTGTTCATATATTAGTATATACACAAATTAAAGAAGTGGTAACTAGGAGGAGCAGGGATGGGGCTGTTATAGGTGTAGTGGGGATCGTTGCTGTGACAGCTGGATGGGGAAGAGATCCTATTAGGTCGGTCATGGTTGAGAAGGGGAACCATCATATGCCATCCCTTCTTCCACTTTTGGTGAAAAGTCTTGCATTATAAATGATGACAGCAGGGAATAAGTCCCTTAGGTGTAATTTTGTACCTTCCCAAAAATGATGAAAAAGAAAAAAAGAAAAGAAAAAATAAAGAGCTTGCCATTATCAATGAAATCTTACTTATCAAAATAAATAAATAAATAGCTTTCCATTATTACCTTTATCATGATATATGCCTCATCCAGCCGTGTACACATGTTTTGATGATATTGTTCTCACACCATTTAAGAAGAGAAAAGATCGTGCATCACAATAAATTCGTAGCCACTCACTTGTTCAACCATAAAAAACTAGTTCTCCTCAAATGATTTAATCACAATTATCAGATAATTATATTAACTCTTATAGCTGGGGTTTTTTTTTTTTTTTTTTTTTTTTGTGGTAACTTCTACTGTATAAAGAAATATTACTCATTTGATGTATCATTATAAATAAATAGTTAGTGTCTGAGACCACCTGCTGAGATTGTTTGTGTGTGTGGTTCTTTTCCCCACCAAGTATAGGACCATAGGTTCTCCAAGTAGGCTTAATCTTCAGAGTCCTAGCCTCCTAGGCACACCACTCCAATCTAGCAAACCTGAAGTGCCAACTCCAAGAGCTGAACCTGTTTCATGTAAACAATAAAATTTCAAAATTTCAAATTCATACATATTGTTATATCTTCAGAGCTTATGTGTATGTGGATCTGTTAAATTGTATTCAACAATAAAGCATATTGGTCTTGAATCTTGAATAAGAATATCAGTATATGAATTTAATAAATTATTCCAGTGAGAGTATTTGACATCTCCACTGGGGAGAAAGAGGAAACGGCAGATAGAGGGTGCATATGTTCAGACAAGGATCCTTTCCACAGTTTTTTTCTTTGAGTCTATATCGGATGACACACATAGTACTAGGGGTGGCATGGGCTCGGTGTGTGTGCCTGAGACAAAAAAAGTTTAGAGAGGTTCCAAGTAGTACAATGAAATCCTAACAGTGCTCTTTATAAAAAGATAATTTTGTGTGTTTTCAGAATGTAATTGGGGGAGGGTTATCTTATTTTCTGTCAGCCTGGTTGGGCTTTAATTTCCTTTCCCGACTAATCCCTAATTTCATTAGTCCCTTTCTGAAACAACCCCAAGCAGGGTGGTACTTGGCCAACATGGTTGATTTGCCATTCTCACGTGGAAGTTGTCTGTAGCATATACTTTACTAATTTTTTTTTTTTTTTTTTTTAATAATAAATTTTACTTTTATTTGCTACAACCATCATTAGCCTTGGAGTTCTCTTTAATCCTCTAGATATCTTGAATGAACTGCAATTTTTTATTTTATTTTTGCCTGAAAATCTTTGACCAATTAATTGTTAGAGAACCATGTTTGGTGGATCCTGTATCCTGTTTATTAAGGAAGATGGCAAGTGGGATTTTGAATATCCTATTTATGTAAAATGAAAAATAACCAAACAAATTAAAATTAATACTATAATTGCAGGAGACCTTGCTTCGGGTATGCTGTGCAATGCTGATTCTTGTTCGGAGGCGCTTACTTGCAGGTGATTTCACGGCTAACCTCAAGTTACTCCAAAATTATCCATCAACGAACATCAGCCACCTTCTCTACGTCGCCCATAAATTGCGAACCCATTCAGTTGGTCAGATTTTGTAATCATCATATATATATTTTTTATCCTTCCTTTTTATTTTATTTTTTTATTTGGTGTTGAAATTTGGTGTCTGTAAAATATATTGGATGTAAATCTCAGGTTTAAGTAGGTTTTATTTTTCCCTCTTCAAAATTTGTAATTGTTGCATTTGTGGGACAGGACACTTATTCTTTGATCTGTGACATTAGAAGAAAAAACTCCCCTAATTAAGATATAAATGATTTCTTAATTCTTCTATTTGATAGTCATCAAACGTCTCATGAATACCAATTGAAGGAAGAAATGGGAAACATCATTGATTCCATGCATAACTTGCCTTTCTCTCATCTTCTACTAGTCATGTCATTGAAGCCTACTATTGGTTGCGGTCGAGGTATAACGAGCTCTTGGACAAATGGTTGATACGGGTCGAATGTCTAACTTAAAAATATATCATGTATCGATATGCGGTCGAGGTATAACGAGCTCTTAGACAAATGGTTGATACGGGTCGAATATCTAACTTAAAAATATATCATGTATCGATATGGCAAACCATGGGAAAAGAATCATCTTTTAACCCCTCTCTCTCTCTCTCTCTCTCTGCTAGCCTTAAAAGTAACTATACTGATACGGTTTGATACATGATTCTATCACAACACAAATGATGATGTGGCAAGACACACAATCAAGGACGGGTTCGGATGCTCTTTCCTGCTATGTTGTCACTTTTGTTTTGATCTGAGGGAATGTAAACATTAAACTAATTGGATTTAACTTGATTGTGGGATGGGCAGCCACAAGTTTGAAGAGGACTGGTATTGGACAAGGATTTTTCTTCAATAATTTATAAACTCTTGCGCAAAAAACAACATGCAATCAAACGGAAAAAATAAATAAATAAAAAATGTAGGAATACAGTATATATGTAATTTAGCCAAAACTTAGGGCTAGCATACGGAATAAATTTTATTATAAAAGCGTAAATAATTACAATGGAGATCTTTCTCTCGACAATGTGAGATTTATCACTCAATTGTCTCTCACAAAATCTTCAATCACTTTTGCACAAATCACCAGGTATTTCACACCCCCTAAAGGAGATGATTAGGGTTGATATTAGTAGTTCTACAGAAACGCAACTTGCCCTGCAAGTCTTTTGGAGAGTCAAAAATCAACTTGAAAATTGAAGTTAAATTAATCGCAATACATTCAATGTGTAAGTTCATAATATTTGAACAAGTTCATTTTAGTCAGTAGCCAAAATTTTCATCTAGCTTGTAGCCTTCACAATGATTAGACAGTTCAATTTGTAAATATATTTACTTGGAGAGGAAAAATATACGTAATTGGATTTAACGAATGTCTAATTTATCAACAGCCCAACTTTGTGTGATTTAGGTTCGTTTGGATATCTATTAAGGGCAAAGTGAGAAAAACACCCTTAATATTTTAATTTTGGGCAAATAACACCCCTATTCTTTATTTTGGGTATATAACTCCGTTAAGTTTGAAAAAAATGAACAAAAAAGGACTCATGTTATGTATATAAGTTCGTTAAGTTTGAAAAATTAGCAAAAAAATGTTTGAAGTCAATATAAAATTCCGAAAACACTTTTATCTCTTCGTACAATGCCCTTATAAGGACAAGGTGAGAAAAACATCCCTAATGTTTACATTTTGGGCAAATAACACCCTTATCATTTATTTTGAGTGTATAAGGCTGTTAAGTTTGAAAAAATATGACAAAGAAGGGCTTGATGTTATTGTTTCGTTATAAACACGTGCATTGCACATGACATTTTTAAGATATAAAATTTTAAAAGTACTCTTGTCTTTTCCGATAATGTTCTTATATATACAGGGGTAGAGCCAGAAAGTTAATATAATATTTTTTAAAAAAATTACTAGTCATAGTATATATACCTTGAGGAAATTAAAAAATGAGAAAAATACAACTTAGACAAAATAATAAATAAATAAATTTGTTTGAAAGAAAATTATGGAGAAGAAGCGTAAAGAAATAAATATTGTTAGAAAATCAATTTTCCTTTATAAATTGTATCAGTTTGTTAAAAATTTTATTTTTTTGATGAATAAAATTAAGTACTTTGATTCCACTTGGGAAGTATATACATATAGATAAAAGATTAGAAAAACATATTGAATTTTAACTCAAAAGAGATTATTTTAAATTCAACAATATTATTATTGAGTTATTGAGATACAAATAGTTATAAAATTTGTTATTTAAAAAGTAATAACTAAAAGTATTATCAATATATGATATTATTGTTAAACACTAATTGACTCTAGAGGGGGGTGAATAGAGTCAATGGTCAATTTTCGCAATTTATAGATTTACAATTTCTAATCAACAACTTAAGCAATTATGCAATAATCAAGATATGAAAGCAAACAATTAATAGCACAATTGTAAAAGATATAAGGGAAGATAAATTGCAAATAATGACTCGGCAATTTTAGCGAGATTCGAAAACTCCTACTCCTCGGCTCAAGACCCCTCTTGAGACTTCCCAATCCACTATAACTTCTCCTTAAAGGTGGAGAGCAAACCTTTACGTGAAGCAAACCCTTACTTCTCTTCCTTGCTAGGAGAACATGTAAGCGAGAACTGAAATTATCATTCTTGAGAATGAATAAAATATATCATGGAGAGTTGGTCATAAATAGCCAAGTACAATATGTACAATTATGACCGGTCCTTTACAAGGGTCGCGATACCAAGTCAAGCTTGAAGAGTTGTGAATTTAGGAAGTGGCCAAGTTTTACATTTAAAGAAAGCCACTACTACCTTTCTCTATATAAAATATAGATAGGGTGAGTAGGGATCGTCCCAAAGGATTATACGTGTTAGAGTTTCAACTTCGACTCTAGCGTACCAAATGATTGCAAAAGAGAATTGGGTTGGTTGATTAAGCTAAATTGAATTTAACTAAATAAAATAATATGAAGTAAACAAGAGAGAGATGTCTTGGGGTGTAGAGATCACCACCAAGCAATACTTTTCTATACTACTAACAAGTGATCAATTGAGGGTAATGGATGTGTTGCAATATGATAAGGGTGTGTGTGCATTAGGTTGATTCAATTGGCAAGGATGACAAATCAAGCAAGTATTGTCTAAACATTATGTGAAGAGCACAATATATCTAAACAATAGAGCATATATTGTCTAGACAACATGGGGATAGCACAATAGATCAAAACAAGTCATTAATCCTTCATTAAGCTCACAATCAACATACAACACAATATTAGAGGAATATGCCATTTGGACTCACAAGCATGGAACATCAAACATCAATAGTAGATTGTCCTCCCATCTAACATTGCACTACCACTACACTAAATCTACACTACTAGCATGAAAATAAAGCTATCTAAACTAGGGGAGAGGCACAAACCATCAAGAATAGGCATAAACCATCAAATAAACCAAAATAACATTCATTAAGCATATCATCTTGATAATCTCTAGATCTATAGCATCAATACACATAGACATGCATCAAAAATACTAAATCTAGGGATAAGCACATGAATATCCTATTCTAGCATACATAGACATATGGATAGAATAGAATAGTCAATTGGAAGCATTAAACCATACAAACCATGAAATAATCAAGATTTATATATACATGAATATCAAGATGTATCATACAACACTAATCCCTCAATAATACACAAGATTAGAGTATAGAAAGCATGCTTGGGGCTAACTCTAGCCCCAAGAGGATGTCTAGCCACTCATGGTAGTGATGATCCAACCCTCAAGGGCTAACTCCATGGTTGCTCCTTGTTGGTGAAGATCTCCTCCAATGGTTGCTCTAGCTTCCTCCCTTTTTCCTCTCCAAGAATAGCCTCCAAGATGATTTTCAATGTGTGACAAGAGACTTCCTCAAAAAGTGTATCATATTCCTTATATAGGTAGGTCAAATACACCCCATGATGAGCTGTGGTCGTGCAAGGCATATTCTCCAATGATTGGATGAAGGACGGAATAAATGAGCTGGACTTTAACTTTTTCTCGTTGGAGGAAGTTCGATCGATCGAACCTTAACTTGGATCGATCGAAAATGGGTTCGATCGATCGAACTGCATCTTGGATCGATCGAAGTGGTCTGACTCCTCCGGATAATGACAAGGCTGGGATATTTTCAAGATATTTATGGGGAAAAAGACAAAAGTGGTTTGTAGGCGTACAGCTGTGGATAAGATCAATCATTTGAATAGGACAAAATAGGGTTCGATCGATCGAAGGTGATGTTCGATCGATCGAACTTGGAATTTCAGCAAAGGCCAAGGTTGGATCCATCGAGAAGTACTGTGATCGATCATAGATGTTCGATCGATCGAAGTCTAAGTTGGATCGATCGAACTTTTCAGTTGCATAACTTGATTCCTTTTTGCTCATTTCTTTCTCCACTTTGCTCCCTCCTTTGGTTTATCTCAGGATTGCTTCAATTAAGCTCTTATTTGGCTGAGTTAGCTAAATTTTGGGATTAGTGCCTGAAAATATAAATAACACGTAATAAGTCTAAAACGGCAAAGTAAAATAGATAAAGGTACTAGAATGCTTAAGCTTAACGGGTTTAAATGCGCACTTTTCAGTGCTCATCAAATTAGAAAAAGAATAAAGTTTGAATCCCATAAAATATGGGATTTTCCTAACTAAATCAGGATACTAGCTAAATGAGGATTAGTTTTCAACTAATTACAAAGTCAAAGATTTTTCCACTAATTTACAATTGTCCCAGTTTTCTTATAGATAGAAAAACTGTGACTTTCCAACACTCCCTCTCAAGTTGGTGAATAAATGTTCTTCATTCCCAACTTGCTAATGAGTTTCTGAAATGCATGTCCGGGCAGTCTTTTCGTTAGAACATCTACGAGTTGACATACTGTTGAGATATATGGAGTACAAATTAGACTGCTATCAAGTTTTTCCTTTATAAAGTGCCAATCCACTTCCACATGTTTTGTTCGATCGTGTTGTACTGGATTGTGAGCAATGTTGATACCTGACTTATTGTCACAATATAGCTTCATTAGTCCTTCCCACATGATTATGAGATTCTCCAGAATTATCTTGAGCCATAAAAGTTCACAAATTCCCAGTGTCATTGCTCGAAACTCCGCTTCTGCACTCGACCTGGCCACCACTAGTTGTTTTTTACTCCTCCATGTCACTATATTTCCACCCAGAAGCGTGCAATAGCCCGATGTCGATC